AAAGGTTGGTAATATCAATAAGAATTGTAATATCAAATTATACTTCATTAAACCAAATACAATTTAGAATATGTATTATACATGCTATGACCAAATAAATTTTAGATGAATTATAAATTGTATACGAAAAAGACTGCGCAGGCGCGGGCTAAAACTCTAGTATATATAACAATTAAAAAGAATAACCGATACACATAAGTGTGAAGAGTATGTCGAATAAATGACCATAAAAGCTCAATTTTGAATCAAAACAATAAATTTTATTATGTGACCAAAAAAAAAAAACAACAATAAACTTTATTATGGATTACTTTTTTTAAATATGTTTTTTGCCGATTTCGAAAAAAATCATTACTAATGAATAATGATCAACATGTTCTAAAAATATGGAAACGAGATGACTAATGAGGACATGTAATTGATGCTATTGTAGACCAAACGTGGTTGAAATAAATTTTATAGATTTTCACCAATGCTATCAACAATCGTGCCAAGAATTACAAAGCTACCAACAACATATTCATATATCATCCATAAGGCAATCTATCGAATAAGCTACTTGTACCCAAAACCATAATCTCATTCTAGAGGGTAAAATTCAAAAGCAATCCTGGTATGAACAGTATATCTTCAAAAGCACAAATTTTACCAACAACATATTCAATAGACTTTCCCTTAACACCTACAAAATTATTTGCAAAGAGAGATAGAAGAGCGCCTTAAGAGTAATCAAAGCCTAAAAAGAAATGAACAAAAAGAGCAAGAAAAAGTATTCAATAGCTTTTGTTCCATAAAGTTTTTGACATTTACCCTACCAAAAAAAGAAGGCAAATCTATCGAAGAGTCTACTTGTAGTCCCCACAACCATAATCACGAGAACAAAAAATTGATTCACGCAGAACAAGCCTTGTTTGCCAAGGAAATAAGTTGGGTTTACTCATCTCTCAGTCACATAGAAAAATCAAAACCGATCCAAAGATGAGTAAATAATTATCTTTAATCTTTTGGTGTGATGGAGCATGGTATAGCTTAACTTAACAAACTTTAATCTCAGTTTAGAGGGTAAAAATCAATTTTAAGCTTCTTAAGTTAAATTAATGGTAAGTTTCTGAAGTCTAAAATTGATCGTCTAGAGGGTAAAAACCGATCCAAAAGATGAGTTTAGATAAAATCTCAGTCTAGAGAGTAAAAACCGATCCAAAGATGAGTAAATAACTACCATTTTGCTTAAGAAACTTTAATCTTTAATCTTAAGAAACCGATCCAATTAGATGAATAAATTATTATCTTACCATTGAACTTAAGAAACTTAAAATTGATCGTCCTTGTAATTGAACTTACAAGTTTAAAAGAATGTGAGGTATGAAGATGGTTGCAAAGCTTTCTGCAATTTCGTCATCAACGATTATGTACTAAAAATTGAAGAAAACAATTAAGAAAATACATATATATTTGGATGGTTAATAAGCAATTCAAAAAAAAAAAAGTTAAAGTTAGGTTCTTTTAAATTAAATCATGCGCAAAATTATTGTGTTAAACAACATTTTTCATTACATATATTTTTAATTTAGATTGAAAATAAAGAATAAAACCAAAACTAATATTTTCTATAGAAAAGATATGAGTTTGAAATTCGTTATAAATACGGTTTAAATTTTAGTTAGACACTAATCATGTAGTATATGAAAATTTACAATATTTAGCGTCCAACTAGTTAATGAAATAGTAATCATAAATACTTTAATCTTTTTCTCAAAAAGAAACAAAAAAAACTTTAATCTATATAGTTAGGTGTTAAAGATTGGATTACATTTGGTTGGTTGGTTGCTTGTCGGAAGCACGACAATTAATAACCCTTCTTTGATGACCTTTAAACTATAAGCTAAAACTGTTTCCTTCAATTGACCAAGCTGAACAACTGATATTGTTGAGAAAACAGTTGCCACAGTTTGAACCAGAAGTACGCGG